TTTCACGTTGTTACAGTACAGTCTGGAAATCATTGAAAGGTGAAACTGAGGTAAAAATATGTTCCCTCAAGTTCGGACATTTTCCTCAGTCAAAACATTGTGTTACTGTCACATGGGGTGCTCAAAATAAGTTCCTATTTGCGATCTGGGGCACTATTTTTACCCCGTGCTGTTTTATTTATATACTTGTTCATCCGATTTAACAAAGTTGAGACCGGTAAAGTAGCCTAAGAAATTCTAAAAATGTCATAAAAAGAGTCAAACAGAGTCTATGGCACATAAATAGGTTTGAACTAGTATTGCATATTTTCAATCTGAAAAACTATTTTACTACAAAGGGTTAACAATGCAAAACAACATAACTGCTAAATACGTAGTTAAGACCTTAATGTGACTTCTTTCCATGCATTTTAGAAAACTATTGTGCAGTGAAAAGGTGACACTTCTGCAGAAACAGATATTAAAATGCACAGTTATACAAACAAGCCAAAGTGCTCTCTGGTTGGGTAAATATTGACCCCTTCTGGCATCGGACTTAAATACTTGAATGCACCAATAAAGTAGACAATCTCTGCTTAAAATTGCATTACAAAGCAATAACTGAGGAAATAACAAGAAAACAAGATGTTTACTTTGACGGATTAACTGTCAACAGGAGGTGTGTTTAAACTAATCAGTAAATTCAATACAACTTGCCCCATGGGAAAGCACACTAATTTAAATAAATACAAATCTGGCAAGACAACACAGACAANATGTTCCCTCAAGTTCGGACATTTTCCTCAGTCAAAACATTGTGTTGCTCACAGCACAGGGTAAAAATAGTGCCCCAGATCGCAAATAGGAACTTATTTTGAGCAACACAATGTTTTGACTGAGGAAAATGTCCGAACTTGAGGGAACATATTTTTACCTCAGTTTCACCTTTCAATGATTTCCAGACTGTACTGTAACAACGTGAAAGCAATGGATGCATCTAAGCTAGAGGATGTTGAAAGCTAAGTCATGCTATATCACGAAAGTTACATTACTATTCTGTTTTTAAGGATTTTCTAATAACTAGAATGACCTCTTCTTGAAGTGTAGTTGTCCCCACTACAAAATAATTAAGAAAAAAATGAAGTAACTTGATTATAATTGGAAGTGTTTAAGCCAATAGTTGATCAAATGTAAGGAATATTGGATACTCTGTTCCCCTGCAGGACACATGGATGCCTCAAGCACTCGTGCAACCACATCCTGCGTAGTGCTTCCCTTCTCCTCTCAGATCCACCCAAGTATAACATTTTGTCTTTTTTTAATATGCCAAACAAGTGAGCAAAAGGTCTGCTTTGGTGGAAAGGGAACTACATAAGCACATGGTGTGGATTCTTCCCTTTTTCTCTTCATGACCTCCACACATTTCCATCCTTTGAGCACCACTGTTGGACGGGAGACATTTCATCAGACAGGATTCTCTCTGTGTTTGTTCCAACTCTTCTTTGGTGTCTTTTCACAGAACACTTGATTAACTCGACATGAACATTTAGCACGGTTCAAAACAAAGAATATCTGACTCTCTGGGATCAATAGGTAATTGCAATAAACCCAAACAGCGCCATTTTCTGAAGCTTATTACTGCTATTGAGCCTGAGCCTCCGATCGTCTCTTTTCATTTGCATTCAGTGAAAACACACAGCAGGCCTTTTTTAGCTCATTTATTTGAAAACTCCTGAATATCAACGTCTTTATCTCTCAGCCCATCGTCCTGATGCTCCACTCATCAACACTCAGACTGATGGAGAGGAGAGATTGTACAATTATACTATCAGACGCCAATTTGTCAACAAATGCAGCCAATTAGTGATCGATCTGAGTTTCATTGATAGTATCGAACTTTAGGTCCCTGTTGATCCCACCCCGCTGGTTTCCACTCATCATGTGTGTCTCTTTTGGTATTTTATAATGGGTAGTGGTGGAAGGTATTGAAGTAGTAGCCTTTGCAGACCATTTACATGCACTAACATCTATATACAGGGTTCTTACGGTCATTTAAAAACCTGGAAAAGTCATGGAAATTCAAAATGCTAATTCCAGGCCCTGGAAAAGTTTTGGAAAACAATATTTTTCCCAAAGTTTTGGAAAAGTCATGGAAATGTAACTAAAGTTGCATCAAATATAATTTATATTGTATCTAATCGCCGAAATAGGAATACTATAATGATAATAAATATACTGTATCGTAATGAAACGTAAAATGGCATTTAACTGACGAGGTATTTTGCTGGTGAGAGATTTTAGACTGAACAAAAATATAAACGCAACAATTTTGTTTTTGCTCCCATTTTTCATGAGATGAACTCAAAGATCTAAAACATTTTCTATATACACAAAATAACCATTTCTCTCAAATATTGTTCACAAATCTGAAAAAATCTGTGATAGTGAGCACTTCTCCTTTGCCGAGATAATCCATCCCACCTCACAGGTGTGGCATATCAAGATGCTGATTAGACAGCATGATCATTGCACAGGTGTGCCTTAGGCTGGCCACAATAAAAGGCCACTCTGAAACGTGCAGTTTTGCTTTATTGGGGGGGTCTGGGGGGGGTCCGAAAACCAGTCAGTATCTGGTGTGAGGGTTAGGATTAGGGTTAGGGTTAGGGTTAGTGTTAGGGTTAGGGTTAGGGTAATGTTGTGAATCGAGTGACCCATGGTGGTGGTGGGGTTATGG